AAACGTGGCTGGGTCTTTCAGCATGACAATGATCCCAAACACACCGCCCGGGCAACGAAGGAGTGGCTTCGTAAGAAGCATTTCAAGGTCCTGGAGTGGCCTAGCCAGTCTCCAGATCTCAACCCCATAGAAAATCTTTGGAGGGGGTTGAAAGTCCGTGTTGCCCAGCGACAGCCCCAAAACATCACTGATCTAGAGGAGATCTGCATGGAGGAATGGGCCAAAATACCAGCAACAGTGTGTGAAAACCTTGTGAAGACTTACAGAAAACGTTTGACCTCTGTCATTGCCAACAAAGGGTATATAACAAAGTATTGAGATGAACTTTTTTTATTGACCAAATACTTATTTTCCACCATAATTTGCAAATAAAGTCTTTAAAAATCAGACAATGTGATTTTCTGGATTTTATTTTTCTCATTTTGTCTCTCATAGTTGAGGTATACCTATGATGAAAATTACAGGCCTCTCTCATCTTTTGAAGTGGGAGAACTTGCACAATTGGTGGCTGACTAAATACTTTTTTGCCCCCACTGTAGATGGATGGACCTATTTTAATATTGTGGGTAAATGTAAAATATGTATTAACCATCCAACCAATATTATAATAATCAGTCGAGGCCTTATAAAATCCTTGACTATTGTTAATAGAACCCAATTATTAGTAAACTGTCAAAATAAAATATAGCACTACTAATAATTAGTAAACATTATTACTAACTATTTAATTGTTTGTAAAAAATAAAGTAACAATGAAATATCATTGTACCATTTATTAATGATGATTACTATGAAGTTTTAGGAAATTAATGAAGATTATACACAGGATTTAATGTAGTGTGCTTTTTCCTCATGGCTGATGTAGAATGTGGAATAAACAGCAGGAATCTAACCTCTCCTTCTTCGCAGCAGGAGGACAGGCAAGCGGCCAAACGTCTGGCTGAGCTGAACACAGAGGAAGTCTGCCAGTGGTTTACCAGCATTGGACTGCAGAAATGTCTTCCTTTCATCAGCGGTAAAACATTTTTCTGACAGTCTCTTCTCCCAGTAAAAGGCAGACATTGCTGATTAGATTTATCTTTGCCACAAATCAAATCAAAAGCGTTGTAATAAATGGGGTAAGGAGAGCAGGATAATTCAAGGTCACTGATTAAAACTGAAGTAGTTTTTATGCAATAATACATTATTCTTGAAGTATGTTGGTGGACGACAACTCTCTTTCAGAGGTGAAACTGTGTGGAGCAGACATAGCTTCAGTGGATGTGAACACTCTGGACATCCTGCATATCAACACACTGGAGGAGAGGGAGCTGCTGCTGTCTGCCATTTATAGTGAGCTGCACCCTCCCAGCACCGTCACCCAGAGACTCAACTCGCTGCTTGGTATACTTCCATCAATACAACCTGACAAATAAACATTTAACTGGACAGCTTTTCAATTCAGTATGTCATGAAGATTTATCTTTCCACAGAATCTATAGGGCTTAACAATGTTGAGACATTTACTACAACACTAGTATCAATGAGCAAATCTAAGTCCTCTCCTCACGTGAGCTGCTTGAGCAGGAATCGGCGTTCCCTGAAGCTCAGGTACAGCCTCTCGTAAATATCATTTTTAATTATTGAAATGTATTTATTAACTTATGTAAATCTTATTTTAATCTCCTCTTCCACCAAAGGAGCAGCCCAAACTTCATGACACAGAGGAATTCCCAACTAATAGAGATTACTATTAATGGTGAGTAACTCGTGTAGATACTGTATATATGCAGTGCAACTACACTTAAAAATAAAGCTAAGTTTATTGGCAATATGTAAGTAGAGTAGTAGAATAATAAATATTCACTAATGGTCACATAAGGCCACTTTATGCAGTGTCTAGCCTGTGGGTTGGTTATTGCTTTGATATTCATAATGTAAAATTATACATGTATAAGAATAAATCTGGCCTTGATACCATTCTGATTGTTTTGTTGCAGCCTCAGAGCGGATAGTTCATCTCAGAACCCCCAAGGACACAACAGTGGGAAAAATCATGGATTCATGCTTTAAAATGTTGGGAATGACAGAAGATAAGAGCCTCTTCATTCTGAAGGAAACGCAAGGTGAACAGCACATAATTTCGTCTTTATGAGCTAAAGAAACAGACACATGTATTGATATACTGCAATGTGCTTTCGGTTCATCAGAGGAGCTCCCGCCAGATCAGCAGATTGGGAGCCTACTGACAGCCTCACCAGGGAACAGACAACTGGCGCTCCACTTGTGTAAAAAGGTAACGCTGATCATTTATACCTAAAGTACCGCCTTATCTGACATAAAACATCTAACAACATACCTCTCTGTATGCTTTTGCATCTTAGAAGAAGTTATCGGATGGCAATTTGCTAAATAATCCAGAAGTAAACAGCTCAAATGAGAACGTCAACAAAAATGTCACAGTGATCCAGGCAGCTAAAGAAGAGAGGATCAAGGAGCTAAAACAACAGGTGGACTCGCTGCAAAATGTCATTCTTCAGGTCATTATCTCTACATTTAGACTACATCTATGAACATATGTTACAGGCAAATAAGATGTGATTTTAATCTCCACTGAAATATTATTTTTTGACTCCAAAGGTCCAGGAGCTCCACCATGGCCTGGTAGCATTTTGCTCAGAGATAAAGAACATGGATAGAGAGGCCGATGTAGAGGGGCTTGGCTCTGCTGATCTGAAGCCCAGGCTAGAGTTGGTTATAAGCCGAGTGAACGAAAAGAGGCAGAGCATGCAGACCCTCAAAGACAACATTAACAACTCCAGTGCTCACAAGAACAAGTAGGTGGACAGCCTCTGTTAATTAGTAGCTTGTTCAGAAATGCATTCAACTTTTCTTCCAACTGGCAAAGACACAAAAGGCAGTTAGATTAAAGACTGGATGGACACAATGCCCATTGATCTGAAATAACTCATTTGAGCAAATGTCTAATGTATTTTTGTCAGTGTTACTTGTTTGTGTTAGACTAGCATTCACTCATTTCTCTATTTGGTCCAGTAAACCAAAAAGTAGTCAGGGAGTTGTCTGTTAATGAATAAGTAAATACATAGCTAATATTAGCAAATAATCATCAATCAAGACTGTTTTTTGTTTTAACAAATCTAATGACCAGAACAGACCCACCTGCAGGTCTTCATAATGTAAAGTTAAAATGTAGACATATTGCTACTACGCTTGTGCATAAAACTCAAACATGTTAAAGCATTACAACTCCAAGGAAAATAAACCATCTGCTTTGTTTATTGCTGCATTTTAAAGTTTTCTCAACCATGTTTATATGTATATACATGACCTTTCTGAAATGTGGTCTCTTGCCACTCAGACAGTTGGATGTCCGCCTCTTGGAAAAGATGAAACTGAACTGCCAAGTGTTTAAAGAGGAGATTTCCATGGTACATCTCAACCGGCAGGTGGCTTATCTCAAAAATGCCTTGCAGGAAAGCTATGATAAGGTAACTGGGAAACATTACCGTCACTAAGACCAACAAGCTGGAGCCTGGAGCTCTGTCAGTGGGCTTTAATTGGTAGCATGTGAAACACGGTCACACCAATATGTGGGAAAGCTGTACGGCCTGAGTTCGAAAATGTTTTGATTGCTAAAAATAAACAATGAAAAACAGAGATTTGAAGCAAAAGAATGTGTGGTATGGGACATTAAAATCATTTATTTCCTAAAATAAACAGAGACAAATTTGCTGTTTTTGGAGAAAAATGCCATGGCTGATGCTGTTTCCCTTATGTCTTTAACTATATCAGAAACACTTGTGCAATTGAAACAGCATAACTGGCCTTTTCCTAACTAATTAAATCCATATTGTTCAAATCACGGACGGAGGATGCATTAATTCACAGAACATGTGAAGTTAATGTATTATTCTATGTAATTGACCATCAGTAGAAATAGCTCACACTGGGAAAGGTGCTAAACTAAACAGTTTCCTGATGCGGGAGGTCATTACTTGACACTATTATGTCCATCATCTTTGATCTTCTCTCCATTGTTCTCCTGAGTGACAGCACAATGCTCCTTTCTGTCCACTCTGTTGTGTTAAGTTGTGCCGTTTTAAAAGAGAGTATGAGGCTGAGTGAAGTCTTTTGGTTGAACATGCACTTTTACTGAGAAAATGATGTTTGGTGCTGACATCCGAGAGCCTGTGACCATACCAACAATGGAATGTGTGTGACAAAAGCCACAGGGAGAGTGCAATGGAGAAGTGGGCCAGCATGTGTAAAACTATCTGCATCTATCCCCGGAGGAGTCTACTTCTTTTTTAATGTGGCTCTTTTATCCCGTTGGAGGAGCCCTAACGAGGTGCCATGAAAGGACACACGCGGCTTCGGCTTTGAAAGGTGCTCCGTGTCACGTTGCCGCCCCGGGGCCACGCTTCTTTAGGTGCTGAGTTTGTGGGAAAAGCAGCAGCGCTAATGTTTATCATATGACCTAATCAGAGTTAACACACAGGTCAGAGCTGAGGAGCAGCCTGGGAACTGATTGAGCTGCAGCTCTAATAAGGAGCAGACCGCCCCGCGTTTGGTCTCGTAGGCTGCCCCGCATTACAGACAATAAGGAAATATTTCATCATCGGCAGTCTAATCTCCAGGATCCATTGCAACTGGAGAGCATCAATAAAGCAGCCGAGAGGAGGGGAGGAGAAAGAGAAACAGAGGGAGAAAGTGAGGGGAGGAGGGGAAGGACAACAAACGGCGGAAATTATTTTAAATAAGCAGTTTAGCTTGGACAACTCGAAAACTTCAGACAGACTATTAAAGAGGGGAAATTGGAAGAATATTGTTTTCCCACTCTTTAGTCTCACATGTCTGTTTAGTATGGATTGAGTTGTGAGAAAAGTCTGCCATTTCTTTGCCCTGGCATGCCCCTAAATTTAAGAAATGGACAAGATGCCTGAAGTATTCGTTCTGTGGAAACACTCCAGATACCAGTTCATCAATGTGGTCAGAATATGTTACATTAATCTGTCTACCATGTCCTACACTCATGTTGACTGTGTTGCAGACCTCTGCTGATGGAGCAGCCAAGGCGTCGACATTCAATATGACAGCCCCGAATTTAGAAATTACCGTAATTTTCGGACTATAAACCGCACCTGAATATAAGCCGCAGCAGCGGCATACCACTCTCGGTTCCACTTTTACTTTTGCGCGCTACCTGTCTCATTCTTTTCCGGCGTCCAGCTTTTCCTGCTGGAACCCGCCGCTTAAAGGTGGGGGTCCGCGGACCGGCCATAGAGCCCATAGAGTTAAAGGTGTTGGCCGTTAGCTGTAAAAATCCATAGATTAGCCGCACCGTTATATAAACCGCAGCGTCGAAAAATAGGGAAAAAGGCGCGGTTTATAGTCCGAAAATTACGGTACAACACCCATCATAATAAATGAAATGCAATCCCTTCCAGTATGTTGTCTAAACTGCGATGATCGGTTCTCACACTGGTGGAAACAAAGTTCAGATCAGATCATGTTGTCGCTTCCTGTAAAGTAGGCAAATGATTGTGTTATGGGAATTTGGTAAAATCTCCATTTTCTAACAGAGAAAGAGAGGTTTGTCACCCAAGTGACCTTTTAGATCTTGAATTCTTGTGTTGTAATTGTCTCTTTTTAAACTATCCAGTGTGTATGTGGGATGTGTGTCCTGTGTCTGGCCCAGGTAGATTAGGACTTAATAAAGATCATTTGGATAAACAGGAAGAATATGAAGAGAAAATTCCTTGGCCTCTCGGCATGTGTCCCGCATTGAGGCAAACTAAAAGGGAAAATGATGCGCATTTGAGTGTGCTTCCCAAGGGGCTTCGCCTGCGTTTCCGCGGATATATCCTGTCTGGCCTACTTGTCTGAGGAAAGAGAAGCCTTAGCTTTGACCCCTGACCCTGGCAAGGCGGCATCTATTGCTGCAAGGCATTCACATGCCGTTCAGGGGGAGGGGGGAGTATGCCGAGAGGCTGGATAAGGGAACATTGGAATTCAGTGGTCCGACTCACAAGTTATTTCTGATCCCTGCAAGCTACTTGTGGTGTGATCTCTTCCGACGCTAATCATTACATCTTGGTGGTCTTCTGGCTTTGACACAGCCTCAGTCTTATCAGTTCGGGACCTCCATGTAGTGGCATCTATAATCCTTTTCCGATAAATAATCTTATGATTGTATCCCGAGGAAACTATAATAATGTATTATTTCAGGGAAACAGAATCACACCTCTGAATGTTTTAAAAAGTCGATAGAGTTGCACTTAGGTTCATTTAAATCTCTCTAACCATCTGCCATTGAATATACCCTAAGGATTAGTTTGACATATTGAAAAACATCTTATTTGTTTTCTTGCAGAAAAGTTGAATGATAAAGGTTGGCAACAGTGAATCAGCAAGCCTAGCCTTGTAGCAAAACATCTGACTACCAGCACCTCTAAAGTTCACTAGTAAACATGTTACAAAATATTTTTACAATCCCTACAGAACAACTAATAGTGTGTTTGGCAAACTCTCAGTGGTGACAAGACTCCAGGAAGTCCGGCCAAGTAAAAGTCCAGAACATAATTCCCAGTAAATCCACAACTTGTCGTTTCACACTTAGTTTTCTGTAGTGAATAAAGAAAGAAGTTAAAACCTGTTTATTAGATCATCAAAATATTTGCAAGAAAGTGAATAGGAGGACTTTGCAAAAAGCTACTACTTATTGCAAATGTACTTCAAATTAGATATTAATCAGAGCGTGAGCATACGACTTAAGTCAAAGAATGAAGGCATGAATATGGCTTACTTCTTGTGTCACACATAGCACATTTTACATGAAATGTACATCAATCCACCACAAATTGGGTGTGCCTTAAAATCTGAATCATTTACATTAAAGCGGTCTGTGCCTTTGCATATGTGAATGTATGATTGCTGTTTCTACATTCAGGAGAAAGCTCGGAAAAAGAGTTTGGCCATTGGTAGCCTGAGCCAGCTTGTGTCACCGCAGTCTCCTGCCATGCTGCTGGTCGTGCAGGAGAACCACAACCCTGACGGCCATTATGGCTTTACGTGCCGCCTCAGAGAAGGCAGCGGACTGGTGGTGGTTAGAGTGGACGACTCCCCCCTCTGTGTGAACGACAGGTAACACGCAAACAAACACAAAAGAAACCATGTCATTTATCCAGGCTTAATGACACAGTCGTGGCTGTGTTAACAGAGGCCACCTAGTCAGTGAGAGTAGTATTAAGTGTGTCACACATCACACCCATTTCTTTCATCACACTATTTTTCTGTTTTGTAGCTATGGAAACCCATCGCATATTGGCCCCAAAGCAATCACAACACTGTAATGTAATACTTGGATGAAGAAGAGTGAAAAGCAGAAGATAAAAGGCTCTATTATAATTAAGTAATTAATGCATTACAAGACCATGCTTACAAACGCAGCACTATGAGTATTCACACGTACCACACACACACACACACACACGCAGTGCCGCTGACATCCCTCTTTGAGACAATCACGCCCAAAGAAAGAGAAGTCGGCATGACAGTGCAGAGAGGGAACAGAAGCTGGAAAAGTCTTTGAGCCTCGCTGTGCGTGTTTACTTGTTGTGGCAACTGTTTCAATGGTCTTTTCAGAGCTAATCAAAAAACACAAAGGGGTTGCTATTCATCTGTCAGTTTTATCCAATTGGCTATAAATAAAAACCAATGAAGGGAAATTAACCTTAGCTCTCTGTGAAGGTGCTGGTTTTAATATTTCATGCAGTGTGATTTGTGAAGTCTTTGATGTTGCTTGTCAAATAAGCATAACAGAGGTTCTGCCTTTACCTGTAGAGAGAATCCTGCCAAATAAGCATTTGATACTTCAAAAGGTTGAAAGAGAATTCCCCCGTCAGTTTTCTTCTTTATGTTACCAACAAAACATTTGGGCTTTTATTGATGATATCAATCACAGTTTTCTACATTGACTTGTTTTTGCATGTTTATGTGTGCAAGGCTGGTGGAGGTGAATGGTGTGCCCGTGGTCAACTCCACACAGGAAGAGCTGACTGACATCCTGCTGCAGGGACCCAGCGCTAAAATTGTGGTCCTTCGCCAGCCCCCGCCCACCCCCACCTCCCAGCAGCACCCTTTGGTCCTGCAGCGCAGCGTCAACCCTGATCCCATGCAAACAATTTGCCCAGCAAGGGAAGTGGTCACCATGGAAACCCCTCCACGCCGGAAGGTGATGGCCATCTGATGATACGACGGAGAGAGAAGAGACTAATGTCAGTGTTGATGAGAGTGAGCAAAATGGGAGTTGATGTGTCTGTAGAAAGACCCAGAATTTGAAAATCATCTTTTGTTAGTTAGTTACCTCCATATATGGTAGTGTTTATTGTTTTGATAAAATGTTGTCTATACTGTAGATTGCCAACAAAACAGTTAGGAATGTCCCATTGTAATGAAATGTTAGTTTTTTGTGACTTTTGTTCTACTTTAAAGCATCACCATATGTACATAACTCGGCTCTCTGCAAATTATAATGTATGTTCTATATTGTTCCAATGTTTGTGGAATCCCTATGAAAAGCATGTTTCCAAAAAAAAAAAAAAAAACGCAGAACACAAACCGACTCAAATAAAGAACCCTGCACTCCATGTGATAAGCATTTCTTCTTTAGCATCCAGCAGAGTAATTCCTGAGGGCAGAGCAATGCAAGCCTGATGAGGACACAGTATGCTTCACCTTTTTTAACAGATAAATAAAGATAGAGTCAGGAAATATGTGACATAATGTAAAGACACATCTTTGCATCCTGTTTTCTCTTTGAAGTCTAAACACTAGCATGGGACAGTGTAGACAGTTTCTTTAAACAAATGAATTGCGTCTCCCCTTTCTGTTCTGTAATGTAATCCCCTATGCTGTAGAAATAAACCCTTGGGCCCGGAAATGCCTCATTTCTCAGCCTTGTTCTCCCTCGTTAAGTGGCAGTGGATCATGCGATTCTGACAGAAAGACAGCACAAACCCTGACCCAGACCCCGGGGTCCAAAGAGCCTGAGAGGAGAAGTGATGAAGCAGCTTTTAGTTGATGAGAAAGGTCACGGGTCAGTCGCCAACACATTTGTGCATTAATGGTTTTGTAATCAAAGGCAAAGGAGCTCGATATAATCCCGGTGATGAGAGAGATGGTATTTTCTGGTTGCCAAACAGACCAAGAGGGAGGGAGGAGTTCGGTGAGCCGGAGATTGGAGAGATTTAGTCGCAGACATGGGAAATTGAAGTCAAGGGTTCCAAAACATGTTCATTTACCCACTGACACAAATGAACCATAATGACATACCTCAGCAAGCGTGACAATATAGTGATAAGTTATCTCACATCAAAAAGCAATGCAATAGCAGGGAGCAGACACACAGAGAGGAAGAGAGAGATGGTGTGAGATAAAGACAGGGAAAATTGACAATGATGATGAAACTTGTTGTCAAAATAACCATTCAGCCGGGACTGAGGTCACACAGGTCTGTTCTTTCATTCAGCACAGAAAGACGGGGGAACCATTCACAGTTCAGAAAGTAAAGCCACACAGAGACAGAAGGCAGAGGAGAGAATGTGTCATGGCTGCCTTTATGGAAATAAATTAACACTGGAGAAAATGAGACAAAATCCTATAAACACTGGTGCTGGCAAGAGAAGAAAGAAACCGTGGGATTCCTAGTGACCAACACACCCAAGAACACACACTCACAGGCTTTGATACTCCAGCTATAAACCACTGCGAGTTGTCAATCTAAAATGCAGAGCAAATCCATCGGGTTGAGTAATTGAAATGACACCGTGAAAACCTTCAAAAAGATGCCGTTGAGTCAAGAGGACGAACTGCAGGAGCCGACACTCTTACTGTACGCTGCTCAGGAACATCTGCAGTGAGTTTGAACGGTACAGCGGCCTCCTCCTATACTACCCAGGCGCCTCAGGTTGACCCAGGCTGTACCTGACACGTAGTGGCACAGAGCAAACTACACTGCATCTGGTTTGTCTTAATAGTCTTGCTAAAGCTATACCCGGCACACACTGATAAGCTGCGAGGCCAGCGTGGTGTGGCTGGATTTTTCCCTTCGACCCAGCGAGCCCCAGCTTCTCACTCCTCAATTCCCCCGTCCGTCCGTCCGTCCCTCCCACCTCCTTCAACTCTCTAACCACCCCATGACATTTAAGGGTGCCTGGCATCCGTTTGAAGTGGGAGAGGGGGCATTAGCTCTGGTTTCCTGCCCAAATCCCACACAAGCCAATAAAATGCAAGCAGGTCTGAAGCGAACCAAAGGAATTCCTGTCCACTAAACGTTAAACAAACAAGACTGGCATTGCCCTTATATTAGACCGTACAGTATTGAGGATTGTTGGTTAATGCAGTCACTATTGTATCTTCCTGTTTTTATATTAAACCCTTTTTGTGGGCCTGCCTGCTCCATTTGACTCTAAATTAAAGTTAATGAAGGAGTTAGTGAAATTCTAATTAGAAGATAATCACTATTAATATGTGTCGTCTCACATTCCCATGTCCTGAAAACCCTTATATAGTTAAGATAACAGTACACCTTTTGGCTTCTTATATTTCAGTAATCACTCAGCAGCAGTGAGAGTCAGGAAGGTCAGAGTCAAATCCCAGGGGATTCTTATTTCATTTTGCTGAGGTGGAAATGGGAATTCTGCCTCTTCCTCTGGCAAATCTCACACTAAGTAGCCGCGCTAGGCACTTGAGAAAGTCCCTGGAGATATGTATGTGTTGACCGGCTCCTAGTCAACAGGGCTGAGTTATCTGACCTTTGTCTCTGGTATAATCTACCTGCATCCACTGCCTGTCCAGACACGCTGAGGAAGTACTGCCATCTACTGGCTGTTGCACAAACTTCACACCAATGTCTTGAAATGCGGATGAGAAAGCCTCTTTGGGCTGATTATGAAGAGATTCTGATTAGAGCCTATTATTCATACAGAGCAGGCATTTTATTACAATTATTTTGTTAGTCTGGATGAATACCCAAGGTTGGAAAGAATTGCATGCTTCAAACGCTAATCAGTGATGTAATCTGTGGAAGAAGTATCTGATTAACGCAAACAGCTTTCTAGTCCAAAAAGTATAACTGTTATCCGCCTACCAAGTATTTGAAATCCTTTAACATCTTTTTATTCTAAAGGTACTTAATGTTTTGATATTGGCTCTTCATCAGGTACATAGTATTCATATTATGCTGATTTATTGTGGTTAAGTAGATTTTTTTGTTTCTATCGTGTATGTAAAGTGCATTTCTTTTTTGTAATTACATTTGAAATGTATACAGATATGTATTTATGTGTTTAATTTACATTTTGCCTATCATTTAGAAAAAAACATATCTATCACTGTTGAATGAGTAAATACTAATAAGTTAACACATTTAATCTAAAATGGAACATCCTTGTAGTCAACAATGCACCATGCAATCCAAGATGTCTAACAATCATCCGGCAATTAAAATAAAATGTATGTATTGTCTGTGATGTAAAGTAGATGTACTAAAGAAGAGCCAGCATGTTGTAAGGAGATTATGGTTAATAATGTAATCACATACATTTCCCCCCAACTGCTGTGACACGCACGGTTAATATGCAAATGTGACCGAGACTCCTATTCATCCAGCAGGTTATTTACTGTGTCAAACAGTCAGATTAAAAATAAAGCAGGGAGAATTTGCGTGATTGATGACTTCACTTGGAGGTTAATGTGGGTTTAACTACCCAAATGAATGTGTATAGGCTGGATCTGACGTGGGGCTACTTTTCAAAAGCGGCTGAGAGACATTTTAACACTCTCCACGCTGCTCAATTATAAGGCTAATGAAAAGGCCATTAGGATTAAGTCTAAGGTGTGCTTTGGATGAGATAAATATGTTGGGGAAATTGCTTTGCATAGCCTTGCCAGCAGGCAGCGATAGAGAAAGGTCAGCATAAGGTATTAGTCATTTTCCAATCCTTTCTCTCTGAAATATAGAGCGCATAATGGCCCGTGTCTCTGTCCAATAAAGGGTTTAATTAAAACAAGATGAAAATGGTGATTGGAAAAATCTTTGTGAAATGCAATCAGCAAAGACTGTTAGGGATATTTGTGCAGTAGAGCCAACTATAAAGGAAGAAAATGCATAAAAAGAGGACAAAATCAAATGAAGGTGGATAATACATCAAAAGAGTTTTGAGCCTCTGATGATTCCTGGCTTTCTTTTCTTGTTCGGTAACTGGTGTTGGG